TATATCCTTGAAATTATTAGTAAATCTTGGTACTGGATAACATCCCTGATTTATGTTAGTTTCATCCTTTGTGTTAGCGCATCTACACAAAGGAATGCCATCCGCAGGTTTGTAAAACAGAATATTTATATACACTGATGTGGAATGACCTCCAGGATATACTCCTCAGGGAAAAAATAAAAATGCATAATAATGGCTATAATACGCCATTTGTACATTCAATAATAAAGATAAACATGTTGTTGTTGTTGTTATTTGCCATCGAGTCGGCCCCGACTCATAGCAACCCCTCCTTGGGTTTCTGAGGCAGTATCACTATGGAAGTAGGATTGCTCAACCTTCCTTCCGAGGAGTGGCTCGTGGGTTTGAACCGACAGCCTTCTGGTTAGCAGTCAAGTGCCTTAGGCACTGTGCTACCAAGATAAACATACACATAAATATTAACTTATATTTGCTAAAATAAACATTGGGAATTAAAGCAAAAAGTAATTAAAATGATTACTATAAAAGAAAGGATACAAAAGAGCACAAAGGAGAAAAATGAAGGTAAGATTTCTCTGAAAAAATTATATTTTATAATTTGGCTTTGAATCATATAAATGCTTATATACTCAAAATAAAACTAAATCAAATGAAAAAAATTGAAATTAAAATATTCTGATAAAAATGAAAACCAAGTATACAGAACATTTGAGATACGATCATACAGAGAGAGAAAAAAATTTGAAACATTAGTTTTCAGCCTTTTGATTATGTATCCTTAATGATACATAACATTAGGATAGTGTTGCAATTTTAAAAAGTTTATTCAATGGTATTTTGATTAATGGTAATATTAGCATTATTATAGGCCTAAAAATATCATGCATATATTAAAATGAAACAAGTTTCACATTAAGAACCAAAATTTTCAGTGAAAAAAGAGATATAAAATAAGAGAACTATAAATTGTGTAAGACTATATTTGAATTGAAAATATAGCATGAATTCAGGATTTAAAAAAGTGTATTTCCTTGATCTATCCACTGAAAATCCCCAGAAACAATGATAGCCTAGAATTGATGAGCACGCTAGTGTCTATTCCATTCCCAACAACATAAAGAAGGGAGATGGCTGATCCCACATCTGGCATAGCAGATGAGCTACAAACATGAAAACTAAAGAAAGATGGACTAGGTTAAAAGGATAACTCAACATAGAGCTGTTCCTAAAGACTGAAAGTGGGAAAATTTGAGCAACAAAAAAAACAATAGCAACTGAATATTTTATAAATTGAGTTTATAATATACTTAAACAAGAGAAAATGAACTGGAGAAACAAAACCCACTGATTGCCACCTAGAGTAGCACAGACACTGACTTCTTAAATTGAAAATTATTAATTAAAGGAAAACATTTAAGCTTATTTTTTTTGTATAAATTGTATTAATGATAAAATAAAAAATAGCTCCCTAAACTAGGGAAAGTTCATCTTGAAGAATTGCTGCTGATGCATGTGACAGAAAGGATAGAATTTTTTAAATCACACTTTTACAACATCTAATGAAATACGTGATCCAGACAATGATCATTAAAGGATGAAGCCACTCCCTGAAATGTTCTTGTGTAACACCAGAACTCACCAAGCAGTTTTAGCTTTATCAGAAATGTACCTCCTGGTGTGATGCAATATGAACTTAAACAGCATCACACCAGCCAGAAAGGATTCCTGTGGAAAGGCTGAACCAAAATCTCATCAAGCCTATACAACTAACTTGCGTTTACATGGAATATAATAAAAGTTAAACACCACCTAATGAAGCAAAGGACACATCTGGAATGTGAGATGCTTACAGGACAACTGGCCTGTTTTCTTCAGAAGTCAATGGCATGAAGAACAAAGGGAAGCAGAAAGAGGGTTTGAGGCTTGAATTAGGTGAAGAGGCTGAAGAGATATAACAGCAAAATGGAATGTGTGGCTTCAGTAGTTTGCTGATTCACACCAATGACTATAAAATAGCATTTGTTTTTTAAAGATCTTTATTTTGAATTACATTGAAAACCTAGAATACCTTGTCACTATAA